TACAAGAAAGGCCGCGAATTCTTAGAAGCCATCAACTCCGACGACTCGTGCACCAACAGGCACGTCGAATTGGACGTGATGTACGCCAACCTCAGCGAAGCATGGAAGAGACGGCAGCCTACCCGGACTAGAGGAAGCCAAAACCAACCACCACCGACCGCACAATTAGATACGGTCGACAACTAGTACCCGACCGACCGCATAATTACATGCGGGTGACAACTATTTTCTTCCCCACTAGCCGCATAATCACATGCGGGTGACAATTACCCATTTTTACTCCGACCCACTATATTAGCCTCTGTTAGCCATCATTTTGGATTAACTGTTTCGCACGATGCCCATCCGTCTGATGACGACCTGGTGAGCCAGTGTCGATAATTCATTCAATAAACAACATTTTCCCAAATAACTTCTCTTACTGAATCATACTTCTTGGGATGCCGATTCTCCAGTTCATATGTATCATCATGTTATGCAGTAACCTTTGATGAAGGGTGCAAGACAGAACCCCAAACATCAGGCAAATAAATTTCTCGTTCTAGTGATCGCAGCTACTTCTGCACAAATCTACTATCAATATAAAATAAATCGCGAGAAAGTCATCGTCCATGTGGCCACATTGCCGTGGGGGACAGGATGAACATGCACAATAATAACGGTCAGACTATCGAAAAAAGGCATGCCTGATAGTGTCTGGTTGGATTATTGCTTTTATAATACCGGTTTAGCTAACTCAAGTACTTTGGGTGCTGGTCTACATGCATTGTGGAACGGATGGTAGAGGTATACGCAACTGTCTGCACTCGTGCTCAAATGGTTCAGTCAGTCAAGGCGATCATTTGCATTAAAGGTCAGTACCTAGGAGCGTAAGCAAACAAGCTGAACGACCCCATGGCTGCCGCCAACATTCACAGCAGCATGCTGGTCCTATCTTTCACAAACTTTCCCCCATGGGCGACAGTTTTTCTCCTAAAAACCACAAATGACATTTCATTTTGAACTGTGAGCCATGCCTTAGGAGTTTCTTTCACTATCTGCTCTTCTTGCTCAGTTACGCTGCTGGCTCGTGTTAACTGACATCACTACATGTGAGTGTGTTACTTGAAACAAGCGAGTAGTCGCCCACAATTATGTAAACGACTTCTTTGAAATTTTCGGCTGTGCCGATGCATTTCTTAAATACTAGTACCAATAGGGAGTTCAAAGGCTTTTGCCTATATCTCCTTTAATAAAGTTGACTCGACTTGACCTATGAGTGAAAAAAGCTGAACATATTTTTTTCGCGTCATTTGGTGGTTAGGTACAGCTCTTGCCCAGATATAGAACCGGTCGGCTGCTGGGGTAAGCAGTGGATGTATTGCACCAGTAAACCCAGACTGGGAAGTGTATATCGATCTTGAAAGGCATTGTGACCCGGTGCTCGTGTCGGCGTGCCCAGTCGGTTGCAGCAATGTGCACAAAAGTGCAGTCGGCGTAGGTAGACTGGCGAGTTTACGTTGATGTGCGCTGGTGAGCTGGCACACTAGCACAAGAGTCTAGAGCATGTATGATGAGGCGCATCCCAATTAGCGCTATGCCGAGCAAACTTGTTGATAGCTTATTTCAATGTCGTCGGGAATCAAAATGTTGGATAGGTTGTGGAGACGGCGAGCTACAGATGACGGTGATAACTGTGGCGAAAACAGTAGCGTATCGGAGGAGGAATATTGACATCTGTGCAGGACCGGATGAGGCCGCCTAACGGCAAAAGTTCCCCCCGCCTAATTTTCTCACGGAAATCGTGGTTAACGTTTACTGTTTGATTAAGGCGTAGTTAATGCGTGATAATGGCAGGGTAAGAAATTAAAGCCGCTTGAAATTGCTTTAATGAACTACAAATATATGTGAAAAGAACAGAACCGACCAAAATAATAACCAAAATATTGGCTCGCAAAGAATACCTAGAAACCCATAACAATAGTAGAACAAGTTCCATTGATTATCATAACAAAGGGCGTGTTTGGATAGGCGAGAATTCGACCCACTGAAAAGTCGGAAGTCGTTTTTATTATTATCAATCACAGACAAAATCGGTCTCACAAGAAAACTCTACCCAGAAACCATCATGCACAACTAGTTTTACGTTTTAGTCTGGAATACGATGTACAAAATTTGTTGATACCCATTCACCCTTCGAACATGCTACCAGCGACCGTCTTCTCTATTGTGCACAAGTCAACTGGCGTAGGAAACTTGGAGATGAAGTCGGGAGAGAAGGTCGTGATGACCGAGCTCTACCTTATCTGACAGTCGCGTATTCGGATCCAACCGAAGTCTCCAATATGTGGTAAGATGACCGGCATAGTCTAACCACCACGAAATACACAAACGAAAACAGTTATAGCGAAGCGTCAGCGCACCTAGAGGGATGGTTCCAAAAATTCAAGTGAGTGAGAAAAGTTTCGTTTGGTAAAAATGATACTTAGTCTTTTATATTATAGTGCCATTTCAAAACGTAGTCTACTTTGAGCGTTGTGTATCGTTACGGCCAACTTGCTCATAAAACTGAGCACGAGTAGCTCACTCGCTGTAGATGCCTGTCCGCCTGCGAGAAAGGCCAAAACTTACATCAAGGTCTTTACGTCAAGATACTCGTACTCCGAGGCCTCGTGTGATGTGAAGCAAACTGCGAAAGAAAGAGCCTCTAGATGAAGCCACCGGAACGCCAAGCAGAACTAGACCTGCCACATAATTTAGGTGTTTGCGCAACCCAAGCCCTTTCTTTCGTCAGTAGGCGGCCACAT